GCTTCATATTTATTTATAAGTCACTGTTAACAGATATTATTTTGATTTTAAATTTATTCATGGGGCTCAATCACCTTTCCCATCTTGTAGAACACACACACACATATGCTCATTTTTTAGTGAAAATTTAAAGACAAACCCAAGCAATTAATAGTCCTACTTTAGCAGTAGAAAGACAATGTGAAAACTTCTTGCTTTGTTTCTCTCAACAGGGACACTAAGAATTAATTTATTTTGCATACACTGAGAGCTAGGAAAATGCAGCAACATATTGTTACTAATGCTGTGTCCTAGCTTAAGAAACAGAGATTTAAACAGTACCAGTACTGAGGTGAAACATGGATTAAGCATGCACCAGGGTTGATGAAAAAGATGGCTGTATTTCCTTTCCAGATCTGACAGTAGCTTCTCAACAAGACCTACTGAAAATGAAAGGTCCACCCACCTCCTGTTCCATCAGTGGTTTTGGCCACAAAATTCTTGGCACTCAAAGATGAGAGCCAGAAATGAAGGCAGATGCTCTAAGCTTTACCTTCCAGACCTCCACATCTGCATGTGTTCTCCAACATAGACACTTAGATTAAACTTTGGTATTGCTGTCCTCTTTGGACAGGATACCATTCCCTCCTCGCTTTCACATGTCTCACCTACAGCTCTGGATTATTCCCTGAGCAGCTCTACCTCAGTGCTTTTTTCAAGAACCAGCCACACCTATCTCATTGTAAGACAAAGCCCGTATCTGCTGGGGCAGGACTCACAGATGAAGATGGGAAGCAGATCTCAAGGGAATCTAACCATCAAAGCTACACGCCGTTTCTCCTCACTTATGGAACAGACTACCTGTGATACTAGAGAGAATTCACTTTACAAGAACAATTCTTTCCATTCAAGTGCATAGTTTCCATGTAAACTTATTTTCTTCCTTTCTCTCTCTTTTCCATCTAAAAAATTATTTGGAAAAGATGTCTTTCTGTTCAAATGAAGGCTTATGACATTACGTGTGACCACTAACATAATTTATAATATGGTCTCTTTTCCTAGTCACTCCCCATTACCTTCTTACAACAAGAGGTAGTCTGAACATCTTTTCTTTAGAAGAGAGAACGTTTAAAGCAAATATAGAAACAGAAATGGATGAATGTTCAGGGATGAGGCTAATTCAAGGAGTGGCTGGTAAAGACTGGAAGAAAAAGTGGTTTTCATTTGTGTAGTGCTTCCAGGAAAAGACAGAAAGACTTTCCTGTTTGGGGAACAGATCAGAGATACAGGTATGCATAAGGTTGCTTTGATTAGGGATGTTACTTGAGGCTCAGAAGGTGATGAAAAAAAACCCTTTCTAAAAAAAAAAAATAAATCTAGGCTCAGTGGAGATTGACTACTCAAACCCAATACTGTCTAATTTTTAGAAGGCAAAATAGAACTGCTGGGTAATTGACAGTAAGGACCAGGACTCTGCTTTGCTCTCCTCTGTCTGCCCTGTTTTGAAAGAACACATGTGAGGTGGAACTCCTGAATCTTCTGGTTATCTTGACCCTAATTTACAGAACTGTTTAGTCAAAGATCTCAGAAGATATACCAACGTTTCTGGCAGAGGATATTTATAAAGGAGTTGACCTCGGCACAAATGATTTAGGAATGGCGAAGCTGGATTTAGTAAGTCCTTAATACTAATTGCTACAGGATACATTCCACAATGGAGGGTTGCAGCTGTTTCATGGCTAAAAACTCCTCTTTTTAGTCAAGGCAGCACTGTGTTTGCTCCTAAAATGATCAGCTGCCTCTGGTAACTGACAGTTTGTATCACAACCCCACCCTTGCAAAGCGCATTTTTTAACAGCTACACCCACTCTCAAGAATTTGAAGTTCTTTGTATGCAGAGGAGAGGGGGAATATAGTAAAACCTTTGATTAACTGGAATTCTGTTGGAAAAGGTCTTAAGCCATATCAGGTGCCTCTAAAAGAAACAAAAATTTATTTCCACTTAAGCTTCTCTTTCTTTTAGAACATAGTTATGAACTTTAGACCTCTAACTAGTTATTATAGGATTAATAATACTAATAATACAATTAATAAAATTATGAAAAAGAAATATAATAACTTTACAAGACTCCATAACTTATGGTTTGTCTAGAACTCTGATTCATTATGAAGATAGTACTGAAAATAATATTTGATTTTAATTTTCAAAGCAAATAAAATTCTCAGCTTCTCTAGTTGCTCAAAGTTTGTGTGACTTACAACACATGATAATCTCACAGACTTTTTATAATGTGTCCAAAATGGAACACCAATAAATGACAAATATTAACCAGGAATTGTTATTCTGTGCTTTAGGTAGCAATTTGTTATTTCTTACACAGCAATTAACAGCAAAAAGCTTCTAAGCTTTTAAGTGAAATTGATGTAGCTGGAAGTTCTCACTTTGTAATGCTCTTACTTTAGTTATCCAGTTATTTTTTAGGTGCTCTCAATAATCTGAAGAGCTAGAAATGTTTTAATTAGGTCACTACTCTCTCTAAAATAAATGTTTATATTCAAAAGGAGAATCAGCAAAAATAAAAACAAACAAAATGGAAAATCGTTAGAGTAATAAAACAGGGGGGGTTGGGGGGGTGGGGGTGAGGGTGGTGGTGTGAATGGCCAAAAAACCCCCAAGCCTCCCAAACTTCTATTTCCTAAATTTATTTTTTTTAAAAAAACCTTCTTTCTTGAGGAAGTATTAGAAAATAATGTTTAAAATGTTTACATAATCTTTAATTCACTTTTTCTTCATATGCTCCCCACATTCCTAGACATTGCAGTTCTGGATAAAAATGGATAGCCCAGGGAAGTTTTGAAAATGTTTTGTGCTCAAGTATTTGAAAGAATTATCAAGAATCATGAGAATATTACTTGTTTCTTTCCAGGAGTTTCCAGACATCCTTTGAAAAGTAGGACTGCTAATGAATTTAAAAAATCATCAAGCCTGAATGGACACACAAACTTTTTGATTTTTTGACGTGTATTACCACTCTGAAATCTTTGCAATTAAAGAACATAATACGACTATGAATTTCTTTTGTCCCAAGTGCAACACATAACTGAGACATATTCTGAATGTTGCTAGTGAAGTGATATAAAAAAGATGGTCTTACAAAGCTCTATGTTATATAAACAATAATTTTATCTTTAAAAAAGCAGAATTTAGTTCCCAAATCAGATTTTTTTATTTTATTGGTTGCTTTTCGATAAACTTAACAGGAGTATCATACACAGTTATTGAAATATTTTCAAAAATTGACCTTTTTTAATGTTCTTTTTGTCTTAGAAATATTTTTTTGTATGTCATCACAGTCATCTCTTTTTTAGCACATAAAAATCTTTACTATGCTAGCTTTTATTATTAGCATAATATATCAATGGA